TCTTGGCTTTCCTTCTTTCTCTTTCACCCCAGACAAATAGAGACCAATAGTTGTATCTTGGATGACCACTTGTAAGCTTTAAGACCCCAGACACTACTCACCAAACTAGAAGGTAGCACATAAACTTTAGGAACTATATTATGCCAACTGACTGGATTGTTCTACTAAACCGTGACCCTAAGTCTTCAAACCAAGAAAACTAATCTCGTGTTGGTGATGTGTTATGTGTAAGTAGTATTAGAGGAACCCTGGTGGTGAAATGGTTAAGCTCTCAGATGCAAACTGAAACATGGATGGTTCAAACCCACCAGTGGCTCCTTGGGAGAAAAGACATGTCAGTCTGCTCCTGTAAAGATTATAGCCTAGGAAACCCATAGGGTATTCACCCTGTCCTATAGAGTTGCTGTGAGTTAGAATCAACACGATGGCACACAACAACAAAAGCAGCAACAACAACAAGAAGTAGTATCAGCATCTGTAACCTCTTTTTATTTTATCTTTCTTGTTGCAAAAATATATATAACATGTTGTTTTTGGGTGCCATTGAATCAATTGTGACCCATATCAACCCTATAGGACAGAGTAGAAGTTCCCTATAGGTTTCCTAGGGCATACCTCTCTCATTCTTGGCTCTGAATGTGAATTCTCTGATTTCTAGTGCAAGCTAAAATCCTCACACATCAAATGGGAAACCCCCCAATACCTGTTTCCATAGCTAACATTCCACAACTCAGGGATAACCCTTCAAACAGCAACCACAGAGGTAACGTCCATAAGTGACTACTCCACAGGCCTTCAAAAAGCTCTCACCTGTGTGAGATGTGGATCCTCAGCCTCCTAGCACGAGCCACACAACCAAACCCGGTTTTCCCACTCCCACATGTAATCTCCTTTCCACCAACGCCACAGAGCCCTTTGACGCCCGCTTCATTACCCCTGGTTCCAAACCTTCACCAGGTGGGTCTCAGCTGAGAGACTAACGGGCAGTGGATTCAACTTCTCAGGTGCAAAGATGTAGACTCCTGAGTTTTTGCTGGCCTTATACCTGAGGTAAGTGTAGGCAAGAGGAGTGGGTCAAGACCAATTCAGTTCACAGACACCCTCCCAGACATGTTGGCCACTCCTTACCAGAAGAAGGCCTGGCGGATGGGCAACACAAGCTTCTTGTCCCGGTTCTCAATCTCCTTTAAGAGCCCCGTGTGGGTATCGAACACAGCCCGGGTGTGCTGGAGAGAGAGGGGCAGGCAGATTCTAATGATCTTTATCTCAGTGATGGCAGCTCTATCCTTTCTGATGCTCAGGACAAAATGTTTGGAGTCATCTCTGACTATCCTCAGACCCCATGTCCTATCCTTCAGCAAACTGTTGATTCTTCAAATTCTATCCAGAATGCTCCCACCACATTGTCAGCCCCCATCATCTCCCACCAGACTCCTGCTGTCACTTTCTCCTTGGACTTCTGATTTCCACCCTTGACCCACACAGGCTTTTCTCCACAGAGTGAAGAAAGAACCTCTTAACCCCCAAGTCAGGCCAAGTCCCTCCTCTGATCAGTACCTCTGAGGCACCCACCTCATTAAGAATAAAATGCAAATCTTCCCTTTGTCCCTTATACCCCTAAACCCTCTGCCCCATCACCTCCTTCCCTCATTTTTCCCCTCACTCACTCTGCTCCAGTCACATGGCCTGCATACTGTACCTCAAACACCCAAAAATGCTTGTTAGGGCCTTAACCCCTGCTCATCAACCTGTCTGGGGTGCTCTTGCCACAGACTCCCCACATTGCTCATCTCTCTCAAGGGTATGTTTGAGCGTTCTTTTCTCAGGGACGCCTTCCTCTGGACCTCCTGTCCAACATTGCCACCCACCCACCCTAACAATATACAATCTCTGCCTTTGTTCATTTTTCTCCAGAGGAAATATATGATATCTTCACCTATGATACATCAATTATCCTCTTTATTGCCCTTCTCTTCTAGGACATAATTTCCTTTCTCACCATTGGGTCAACCTGGAACTCAGGTATGTCATGGGGGAAAGAGTTTGAAATTGGGGTCCCACCTCATTTTCAATGACGAGGACAGAAGACCGTGACTTCTGTGGGTTCAACCAGGAGAAGCCAGTCTGAGGGTTCTGCTCAGGTGCTTGCGTCACAGAGTAGATGCTGAATCCCAGGGCGGGTGCAGAGGCTGTGAATAGCAGCTCTGGGGGGTGCTCCGTACTGTTGAGGACTGGCTGGTCCACAACCTGATGCCATGGAAGGAGGGAAACTAAGACAAGTCTGTTGATGCATGCATACACCAAGTCTAAGTCAGGGTTGGGGTGGGCCAAGTTAGGGTAGGGAGTGTTCCTGGGTAAGGAGAAAAACTGGATGAGGTGAGAAATACTGGCTTGAGTTTGAGGAGGTGATTCATGACAGGATAGGGAGAGCCAGTAATGGGGTAAAAATCAGTGAAGTAGAAGAGTGAGGGAGGGTTATTCATGGGGTAGGGATGCCTACCTGAGGCAAGGGTAGGCAAGAGGAATGGGTCAATGCCCTGACAGGGAACACAACAGAATTCCTGATGGAGAAGGAGAAAATTGGGGTGCAGAAATCAAATTCTAGTAAAAAATCCAGACTTAATGGTATGACTGAGACTGGAGGAACCCCAGAAGACATGGCCCTCAGACTCTATGTTAACCCAGAACTAAAATCATTCCTGAAGCCAACTCTTCAGACAAAGATTAGACTGGACTATGACATAAAATGATACTCTTGAAGAGTGTGCTTCTTAGTTCAAGTAGAAACATGAGACTAAATGCGCGGCTCCTGTCTGGAGGTGAGATGAGAGGGCAGGAGGGGATAGGAGCCGGTTGAATGGACACAGGAAATTTGGGGTGGAGAGGAGGAGTGTGCTGTCACATTATAGGGATAGCAACAAGGGTCACAGAACAATGTGTGTATAAATTTTTGTATGAGAAACTAATTTGAGCTTTAAACTTTCACTTAAAGCACAATAAAAATAAATTAATTAATTGTAAAAAAAGAGGAATGGGTCAAGACTGAAATATAGTCATGATGGGGTAGGAATTAATGTGGGGAGAGATTCTTCAAAGATAGATTTATGATGGGACATAGTCTTGGGTGGGACATATTCTTGGGAAGAGATAGTCGTAGGTGGGAGATATTCATGGAAGTATATATTCATAGGGTGAGATATAAGGGAGAGCTCACTTCACTGGGCACAGTCTGTCCACTAGGATCCAGCACAAGAAAATTGCCTTTGCTGACCGGTAGCCTCAACATCCAATCTACCTGGCGTGCCAGCGGGTTGTAGACGATGACTTGGAACTGGGGTAGGTGGTAGGGAGGGGCTTGAGTTAGGGCAGGCCTTGTGTCACCTACCGTGCCAGGTAGTGCCCTTGTGTGAGATTGGTAAGATTGATCAACTCATTTCCATTAAGGCCCCGCCCAAGTGTAGATAGGCCCACCTTCACCGGCCGAAGCAGGAGCCCTTGGACAGACGCTTGTATCCGAGTGAGGGGCCATTGCGCCTCTTGGCTGTCTAGGTTCCTTGACCCTGTCCCTACCTCCACCTGTCTTGCCCAATTTTTCTCTGTGCATGGTCCTGCTCACTTGATCTTTCTGCCAGAGCCCTACCTACCGACTTGTTTTGCGGGCTGACCCAAGCCCTCCTCGGCCCTCCTGCTGTAACTGACAGAGAGTCCCACCCCTCCCACGTACTCCTCTTGTGTCATTCCTTGTGTAACCTAGTGTTAGGACTGGGCTTCCCTGTATTAACCGGTTCTCGCCCAGTCCTGGCTCTGGTACTGCTTGTCCTGTCCCTAGCCCCAACCCCCGAAGCGGATAATCGCACCCAAACCCCACCCTTTCCGGCCCCGCCCCTCCCTCCGCCGGGAGGGCTCACGCGCGCCGCTGTCTGGCTGACCGGACACACGCTGACGTTGAGTTCGCGGCAGAAGGAGAAGCTCTCCTTGGAGCCGGTGAGCCGCGCCAGAGCGTTGCTCAGGAGCACCTGGGTGGGCGGGGTGGAGTGGGGGGAGAGCGCAGAGAAAAGGGTCAGCTCTAGCCTCTCCCTCCCTTCAAAGCACCCTCTCTTGTCTCCTACCCTACCACACCATGCAGCTCTCCCTTTTATGACCTCGCCCTCGCGGCAGAGTCCTGCGCCCACCCTGCCCGGTGCTGCTGTCCTTGGCTTCTATGCTCTGCCCCCAGGAGCCCTTCCACTCCCCGCCTTACTGCAATTGACACCACCTCTCCTGGCCCCGCCCCACACACCTCACAGGAGCCCCATCCTGCGGCGAGCCGGCGCGCATAGTCGTCAGCCACGTGCTGCCGGGAGGTGCCGCTGACAGCGTCGTGATGCTGGAGCACGGCCATCGCCTCCCCTGCAGATGGTATGGTGAGCCGGCGGGGACTCGCCCGGACACAGCCTCAACCCCAGGAAGACATGGAAGGTCCAGTGCAGGTGGCAAGGGTTCTTAGGAGTTTTAAGGAGGGACTCAAGGAGGGGCCGAATGACAAGTCCTGCCCCGGGCCCCGCGCTAGCCCGACACCTACTGAGGGGCGTACTGTCTCCCACGCCATAGGGTCCTGCGTTGGCCACCGGACCCGTCACCGCCTCCAGCTGGTTGCACACCTGGCGGGCAGGGACGTGTTTGGGTGGCCAAGCCTGCCTGGGACACCTGGGCTAACCCCTCAAGCCCAGAACCCACTCACCTGCAGGAAATTGTAGCTGAGGCGCTCGTAGCGTTTGAGTGCCGGACGGCTGGAGAAGAAGCCGGTCCAGAACTTGTGGGGGACGTAGGCATAAGGGAAGAAGTCATCCTGTTTCACCGACCTACGAGGGCGGGGCACTGAGGGCGGGGTCACGGCCCATGGGGCATCCCAACCTGGTCCTCCATGTCTCCCCAAATACCAGCTGAGGTTGGCTTTGTTCAGCTCCCGGAGGTAACAGGCGGGGGTGGAGTAGAGAACGTGGATTTGGCTCCCGTTGGCCTGCTGCTGGGGGGAGGAGTGGGTGGGTGACCACTCAGGGAGTCGGCACCTTCCCGGGGACACACAGGTGTGCATATACTCACGAGTTACACACCCTCTCCAAGCTGATAAACAATCAAAATGTATATATTTTGGTTGAAAATCAGTGGCCTAGTATGAAAATTAAAATTTGTGGCTAAATACCACCATCCTTCAAAGAATTTCTGAACTGAAAGAATAAATCAGAACTTTTATCCAAAATTATATTAAAAATTTCAATTTAATGATATAAAATATTAGTGGACAAAATAAATATGACATTAGAACACAGGCTATATGAATATAAATAGAATACACAGCACTATTGGTGGGATTGTAAATTGGTTCAACCATTATGGAGAAGGATATGGTGCTTCCTCAGAAAGCTAGAACTAGAAATACCCTATGATCCAGCAATCCCACTCCTAGGTGTATACCTTAGAGAGCCAAAACTACTGACATGAACAGACATATGCATACCAATGTTCATTACAGCATTATTCACAATAGCAAAAGATGGAAACAACCTAACTGTCCAACAGCAGATGAATGGATACACAAACTGTGTTACATACACACAGTGGAATATTATGCAGCCATAAAGAATAATGATGAGTTCTTAAAGTATATTGTTGATGAATCTGGAGGATATTATGCTGAATATATCATAGACTGCCAAAAGAATGAACAAACCTGTCTTGGAAGGAATACAACCAGAATGCTCCTTAGAAGCAAGGATGGCAAGATTACGTCTCACATACTTTGGACATGTTATCAGGAGGAATCAATCCCTGGAGAAGGACATCATGCTTGGTAAAGTAGAGGGTCAGTGAAAAAGAGGAAGACCGTTAAAGAGATGGATTGATACAGTGGCTGCAACAATGGGCTCAAGCATAACAATGATCGTGGGGATGGTGCAGGACCGGGCAGTGTTTGGTTCTGTTTTACATAGAGTTGCTGTGAGCTGGAACCAACTCAATAACAGCAACAACAAGGCAACTGCACACACATAGATGCTTAGACACAAACACGGACTTTCTCTCCAACCCACGTTGTCTTTTTTTGTTCGTTTGTTTTTAAGAGTTAAAACATTTCTTGGGTAGAAAAAAGTGTTCGTCAACGGGGAGCAGACCTGTGAAGAGGTGAGCTCGTCTGTCACCTTACATTTTAGATCAATTTGTATAGAGTGCAAAAGGGAAATTTAAAATGATTGGTAGTCATTCACTTAATCACTAGGAGACAGATTGGATTAGTTTATTACATTTGAGGATCTGCAGTCTATCAGCTAGCATGGCTTATCTAATTATGGAAACTTTCTAAAATTATTTGAACTTTCCCAGAACTGTCTTTAATATGAATTTTTAGTTTCTGTGAAGAGTTAAGTTTAAGGGGGTGGGTATTTTCTTTAACATAGCCATCCAAGTGAGTGTGAAGTGATATCTCACTGTGGTTTTTGATTTGCATTTCCCTAATGGCTAATTAAGGGGCCCTGGGGGCACAATAAGAGCCCTGGTGGCGCAGTGGTTAAGAGCTCAGGTTGCTAACCAAAAGGTGGGCAGTGTGAATCCACCAGCTGCTCTTTGGAAATCCTATGGGGCAGCTCTACTCTGTCCTATAGGGTCACTATGAGTTGGAATTGAGTAGACAGCAAGGGGTTTTTTGGTGGTGCAGTAAGGAACCCTGGTGGTGCAGTGGTTAAAGTGCTCAGCTGCTAACCGAAAAGTCAGTGGTGTGAACCTACCAGCCGCTCCATGGCTTTATGGCAGTCTGCTTCCATAAAGATTACAGCGTTGAAAACACTATAGGGCACTTCTACTCTGTCCTACAGGGTTGCTATGAATTGGAATCGACTTGATGGTAGCGGGTTTGGTTTGGTTTGGTGGCGCAGTGCTTAAGCAGCTCACTGCCAACTGAAAGGTCGGTGGTTTGAACCTACCAGCCACTCTGTGGCAGAAAGATGTGGCAGTAAGCTTCCGCAAAGATTACAGCCTTAGGAACCCTATGGGGCATTTCTACTCTGTCCTGTAGGGTCACTATGAGTTGGAATTGACTCTATTGGCACACAACAACAATGGCTAATTACATTGAGCATCTTCATGTGCTTAAACCAACGTTCTCTTAATTCTTCAATAAATTCAGGATTCTGGACAAATCACAAACCATGAACCATGGAATTCACAGCTGAATGGGAGAGACAGCAAACCGATCATGAATTAACTACAATTGTCCTGAATGCGGCATAAAGGTGTTCGTGGGAGCAAGAGTTCAGCCTGGAGTGTGGGGAGGGCTTTTTGGAGAAGGGGACATTATTGCTGGGGCCTTGAAGGAGAAGCAGAAGTTTTCCAGCCAGAAGTATTAATAACAAACAATAAGTACTAATATTTATTGAGCACTACTATGTGTCCTGCACAGTCCTCACAATTCTTGCTATGTTTGAGCCCATTGGTGCAGCCACAGTGTCAATCTATGTCATTGAGGATTGTCCCCCTTTTCCCTGACCCTGTACTTTACTAAGGGGCGCCTAACCAAAGCCTTGGTATTTTCAATTGCCTCATATGCATGCAAAAGCTGTACAATGAATAAGGAAGACCAAAGAAGAATTGACACCTTTGAATTATGGTGTTGGTGAAGAATATTGAGTATACTATGGACTTTGAGAAGAACAAACAAATCTGTCTTGGAAGAAGTACAACCAGAATGCTCTTTAGAAGTGAGGATGGTGACTTCTTCTCACATACTTTGGACATGTTATCAGGAGGGACCAGTCCCTAGAGAAGGACATCATGCTTGTTAAAGAGGAAGACCCTCAATGAGATGGATCGACACAGCGGCTGCAATGATGGGCTCAAGCACAGCAATGATTGGGAGGATGGTGCAGTACCGGGCAGTGTTTCATTCTGTTGTACATGGGGTTGCTATGAGTCAGAACCGACTCGACGACACCTTGTAACAATAACAACTTGCTTACCAAGCCTGATGTCCTTCTCCAGGGACTGGTCCCTCCTGATAACCTGTCCAAAATATGCGAGACAAAGTCTCACCATTCTCACTTCTAAGGACCATTCTTAGCTATACTTCTTCCAAGAAAGATTTGTTCGTTCTTCTGGCAGTCCATGATACATTCAACACTCTTGTGAAGTAATTAAAATTTCACAAGATCTCAATGATGTGGTGACGCTCTTTTTTGCTTTAGAGGAGGTTGGTGGGAAGTTTTGTTTTAGATGAGAGATCAGGCTCTCATGCTGAAGTGGGAAAGAACAACTACCTGTCCACGTAACTGGAGCCACGGCACACTTAAATGGACACCCACCAGTACTCCATATACACAAAACCACGTTCACATGCAATCCTGCAAGTCTAAACATTCGACGGCATGCAGGTACCATAGGGTAAGTGCTTAGGTGGTGAAGATAAAATGATTCTATGGTTCTAGAGAAGACTAATTTTCCTATAGCCATGGTAACTCGTGGCCACCAGAATCTATTTTAAACCCTTTCAATAAAAGACAACTTGCCTCGGAGGCCATGCTGATGAAAACAACTGGTTAGCCATCTCACTGAGTGATCAGAGTTTCTACAGCCCTGTCTGTGAAAGTCTCCCAAACTCTCAGAACACCACTCTTCCCCCAAACCCACCGTAAGATCAGGAGTCTGTTCTGCTTAGAGACTCTGTGCCTGCCAGCATAGCTCTTCTTCACTCGAGTAAGGAATAAATTCAGTTTTGTGCCTTCGTTTGAGATATCAAGAGGTAGCCTCATCCTCTAAAACTACCTGTGCATTGGACACACAAGGTCCAATGGGGGAGGGCATGCTCACCTGTGCATTGACCAGCCGGATGAGCTTGTCCAGGTTCTCGAACCAATTTTGGGCTTGCTTGTAATGGAAGTCCGAACCCATTGTCATTATGATGTTGTTGGTACGGTAGTGCCTGGCCTGGAGAAAGAATGGTGGGGTGTTCTTAGACCAGAGTGTCTTGAAGCCTTGCCCCTGTGTACCACTGTGTCACAAGTTGTTCAGAGTGTGGATGCACATGCGTGCTTTTGTGGTAATGGTTCCATGAAGCATGTTGGAGCATGTGAATATATTTATAATAATCATAAAAATTTGTTGAGCAGTTACTATGACCCACCCAATGGTGAGTCAGGTGCCATGCTGTTTCCTGAACATGGTGGGGGTGTGCAATTGGGAAGGATGCTACTAGTTCTGAGCCAGAATGCACACAATCCAGGAAATGTGCTCGGGCTCTGGAGCCAGGCTGCCTGGGCTCATATCCCAGCTCTGTGACTCTGTGCTAATGGGCACACTCACCTTGCATTCACCTTTCTAGCTGTCAGTTTCTTTGACTTTAGTTCGGATAATAACGTTATGATGGGAATACAGGGGATGCCTGTGCCATGGTAAAGCCCACTGAATATTATCTACATGAGAGCTGGAGGCTGTGGTCAGTGTTACCAGGTTAGGGCCCTGTCCTGGTCAAGGGTACCTGGTCAGCAGCCACATTCAGGAAGTGTGCCACCACTCTGTCAGCATTGTAGTTGGGGCTGCCAAGGTCCTCTACCACGGGGGGGTTATGACACCGAATATCCCAGCATAACCCACTTGGTGGGTCGTAGTTGTTGGGGAGCACACCTGTGGGCCAGGCCACAGAGTGAGATGAGGGGTATGCCAAAAGCCCCAGAAGCAGATCAGGAGCATGATTCTCCATCCCACCCACCTCTCCACCGCCTCACTTACTGATGAAGAGGTCAGCAGCGGGGGGCTGGAGGCTCGCACTGCCTCGCCACACCTGCTCCATCTCACGTGCTTGCTCTCGCATATACTTATCCTGGTAGTCCACGCGCCCTAAGAAGATGCCATCGAAGCCCATCTGGAGCAGGGGACAGGTTCAAAGCACAGAGGGTGGAGGGCTGAAACCCAGTTCCCAGCCTCTCCTAGCAAGTTTGAGACTGGCCAGGTAAAGGCAGAGCACCTTCTACTCCTAAACTACAAACTCACCCCACTGGGGCTGGAAGGGGATGGACACAGTATGAACATAGGTAATAAAGCCAGTCTGAATACAGGTCAGGGCTCCACCCTATTTCAAGCTCAAGGTTGGGGCATGGCCAGAATTCAGAGTGGATGTGGATGAAAACGAACTGTGTTAGCCAGAATGAGCTAGAGGCAGAGCCAGGTCTGATCTGGCGAGGGGGCTGAGCTGGAAGGGGCTGTGAGGAGGTGGGCGTGAGTGGCCTGAAGGGAAGCACCTCAGCTTGTTGGTCACAGAGCAGGGGACAGGGTGGTGAAGCCAATATAAAGTGAAGGGCCCTGGCTTGGGTCAGGTCAAGGGCCGTGTGCAGCTGCACCTGGGCAAACAGCGAGGCCTGCTCTCGTGAGTGGCCGAAGGGGTCGATGTGCCAGGCCACGTGGGGGTGCCCATCTTCGCCAAACGTGTCCTTCAGAAAGCACAGCCCGAGTGTCATTTGGTCCACGATGGCGCCGTAATGCGTGGTCGCCTCATCGTTCATCACCCAGCCGCCGTTGGCAAATTCCAGGCGCCCTGGCGAGGAGGGGCATGGTGAGGGGCAGAGGTCACAGATTAGGGCCTACAAAGAGGCCAGGGTATGTGATCTGGGGATGAGAGGACCTGCCTGAATACCTAGACGTGGAGTGAGAGGTCAGTCTTTGTCCTGTAGGCCAGGGAATGCAGAAGATGGTCTAGTATTCTGGGGGGCCGACTTTTAAGAGAAGAGGACACTGAAGGAGAGGACTTGAAGGATGCATAGGAGTTCCCCAGGTGACGGGGAATACTAGACAGGCAGAGCAACACATGTGCATGCCTGTACATGGCATAAAAAGGTCAGGAAGAGGGCTGCAGAAGTGGAAGCTGGGCAGGACTTTTTTTACTTCATTGGGAGAAACTCACCCTGCTGCACCAGCTCCTTCACAACCTCCTGCATTGTCTTTGTCTGCTGATGCCACCAGCGGGAGAAGAAGGCCATCTCCACATAGATGAAGCGGCGAGTGGGCTCGACTTGCAGGGCTTGCACCACTGAGTTCAGGATGTTCACCACACACGGAGAAATCATCTGCTTGGGGTCTGTGAGCATGGCAGGTGGACAGTAAGGGCACGGGTGAGAAGTGGCCACGCAGAACAAGACAGCACATTGTGGACACAGCCCAAACCACAGTGCCTGGGGCCAGGTGAGATTCTGGGGCTCATATGGGGAACGGATGTCCTGGGGAAGTCTTCTGCATAGTTGGACCCAGACCCCTGCTCACCATCACAAAAGTACTGGTCCACCGTCTGGAGCCAGCCCACGTCATTGTGTGTGTGGGCCACCAAGTGCACGTTGAGCATGTCTGGTTGCACCTTGGGGCATGTCTGCACAGGGGCCCCAAATACATACACATAGCCTTTAGCACCCACCTACCCAACTCACCCACCTCCCACCCGGGGTAGGCTGAATAAAAAGTGGGCACAAGATGAGCCTTGATTAGATACCTTTCCAGTAAGTCCATGACTCAAAGGTGAGACCCCTCACTGTGTTCTGACCTGGACCATGTGCCAATGAGCCTAGGCCCGTCTGTGGTTGATACTAACAGTCAGACACACAACCATATCCTCTAGACACATACAAGCAGACATACAACCATGACCCCACACTGGATCTGGAATCAGACACTCAGTAACACCAACCTCATTCTCACACTACACAATGACACAAAGACTACCAATGGTCAGAAAAGCAGCCACTCAGTAGACACACACAAAGACACACTAAAAACAAACGAAAAACCCGTTGCTGTTGAGTCGATTCCGACTCATAGCAACACTATCATCACATCATCCAGACACAGAAGTACACTCTGGCGCATGTGCCCTGGGCCCTTCCTAGCTTCTGCACAGACCGACTCTTGGACACTTTGCTGTGTAGGCACCTCACACCTTGTAGCCACTCGCACGAGCCTCGGGCACCTCCAGCAGCAAAAGAAGGAGGAGGAAGAAGGGGATCTGAGGCACTGGTACATGGGAGTTGGTTGTGACCCCAGATCCCATCTGTGTCCTGACCCCTGTTGGTCCCTGAGTCACGAGCTTCGTGCCCATCACTCCCTGGCTGTCGCTGTCACTTGCTCCTTGGTTTGGACTATGACAGAACAAAGGCTTGGCTTCTGGATCTAGCTGGCCAATCAGGGCTGCCAGGCGGGGTAGGGTGGGGCCTGAGTCATCTGAAGGACACAGGGGCTCTGAAGACAGTTCCACAGTTCTGGGCGCAGAGCCTGAGGCGTGGGCTGGGACACCACAGGAACCTGGTATGTCAGCTGGACTGCAGCTAGTTCCTGTAACATCCATGTGGTCATGGTGGACCCCGGGTCCAGGGAATGCGCTATTCTCCTGGCTCTGGTTTCTTGGTATGAGGTCCCATGTCTCTCTGCTCACTTCTCTTTTTTATATATCAAAAGATATCGGCTTAAGACAAAACCTAATCTTGTAGATTGGGTCTTGGCTCATTAACATAACTGCCACCAATCCCACCTCCTTAACATCATAGAGACAGGATTTACAACATCTAGGAAAATCACATGAGATGACAAAATAGTGGACAATCACACAATACTGGAAATCATGGCCTAGCCCAGTTGACAGATATTTTTGGGGGACACAATTCAATCCATAACAAAAGTCTTCCTCTTTTTCACTGACCCTCTACTTTACCAAGCCTGATGTCCTTCTCCAGGGACTGGTCCCTCCTGATAACATATCCAAAGTAGATGAGACAAAGTCTCACCATCCTTGTTTCTAAGGAGCATTCTAGCTGTACTTCTTTCAAGACAGATTTGTTAGTTCTTCTGGCAGTCTATGGTATATTCAATATTTTTTGCCAACACCATAATTCAAAGGCATCAATTCTTCTTTGGTCTTCCTTATTCATTGCCCAGCTTTTGCATGCGTATGAGGTGATTGAAAATACTATGGCTTGGGTCAGGCACACTTTAGTCTTCAAAGTGACATCTTTGCTTTTTAACACTTTAAAGAAGTCTTTTGCAGCAGATTTGTCCAATGCAACGCATCATTTGATTTCTTTACTGCTGCTTCCATGGGCTTGATTGTGGATCCAAGTAAAATGAAATCCTTGATAACCTCAATCTTTTCTCCATTTGTCATGATGTTGCTTATTGATTCAGTTGTGAAGATATTTGTTTTCTTTATGCTGAGGTGTAATCCATATCTATACTGAAGGCTGTAGTCTTGGATCTTCATCAGTAAGTGCTTCAAGTCCTCTTTACTTTCAGCAAGCAAGGTTGTGTCATCTGCATATCACAGGTTGTTAATGAATCTTCCTCCAACCCTGATGCTACGTTCTTCTTCATATAGTCCAGCTTCTCAGATTATGTGCTCGGCATACGGATTGAATAAGCATGGTGAACAGATATATCCCTGATGCACACCTTTCCTGATTTTAAACCATGCAGTATCACCTTGTTCTGTTTGAATGACTGTCTCTTGGTCTATGTACAGGTTCCTCATAAGTACAATTAAGTGTTCTGGAATACCCATTCTTCACAATGTTATTCATAATTTGTTATGATCCACACAGTCGAATGCCTTTGCATAGTCAATAAAACACAGTAAACATGTTTCTGATGTTCTCTGCTTTCAGCCAAGATGCATCTGACATCAGCAATGATATCCCTTGTACCACATCCTATTCTGAATCCGGTTTGAATTTCTAGCAGTTCCTTTCAGCAAAAATTTACTTGTGTGTGATATTAATGATATTGTTTGGTAATTTCTGCATTCTGTTGGATCACCTTTCTTTGGAATGAGCATAAATATGAATCTCTTCCATTCGGTTGGCCAAGTAGCTGTCTTCCAAATTTCTTGGCATAGATAAGTAAGCACCTCCAGTGCTACATCTGTTTGTTGAAACATCTCGATTGGTATTCTGTCAATTCTTAGTCTCGCCTACAAAAATTTATACACACATTGTTATGTGACCCTAATTGCTCTCCCTATACTGTGACAGCACACTCCTCCTTTCCACCCCTGATTTCCCGTGTCCATTCAACCATCTCCTAACCCTCTCTGCCTTCTCATCTCACCTCCGGACAGAAGCTGCCCATTTAGTCTCATGTATTTACTTGAGCTAAGAAGCACACCTTCACGAGTATCATTTTATGTCCCACAGTCCAGTCCAAACTTTTTTCTGAAGAGTTGGCTTCAGGAATTGTTTTATTTCTGGGTTGACAGAGAGTACGGGGGCCATGCTTTCTGGGATTCCTCCAGTCTCAGACCATTAAGTCTGGTCTTTTTACTAGCATTTGAGTTCTGCATCCCATCCTTCCCCCGCTCCATCAGGGACTCTCTGTTGTGTTCCCTATCAGGGTGGTCATCGGTGGTAGCTGGGCACCATCCAGTTCTTCTGGTCTCAGGCTGATGAAGACTCTGGTCTATGTGGCCCTTTCTGTCTCTTGGGCTAATACTTTCCTTGTGTCTTTGGTGTTTTTCATTCTTCTTTACTCCAGGTGGTTGGGACCAATTGATGCTTCTTAGACGGCCACTTGCTGGCTTTTAAGACCCCAGATACCATTCGACAAAGTAGGATGCAGAAGATTTTCTTAATAAACTTTGTATTCCGTCAATTCTTGAGGCCTTGTTTTTCGCTGTCATGGATTGAATTATGTCCCCCCAAAAATGTGTGTATCATTTTGGCTGGGCCTGATTCCCAGTATGGTGTGGCTATCCTCCATTTTGTGAGTGTAATTTTATGTTAAAGAGGATTAGGGTGGGATTGTAACACCCTGACCCAGGTCACATCCCTGAGCCAATGTAAAGGGACTTTCCCCGGGGTGTGGCCTGCACTGTCTTTTATCTCTCAAGAGATAAAAGGGAAAGGGAAGTGTTCAGAGAGGGGGGAAACTCATACCACCAAGAAAGCAGTGCCTGGAGCAGACAGTGTCCTTTGGACCTGGGGTCCCTGCACGGAGAAGCTCCTAGTCTGGGGGAACATTGATGAGAAGGCCAACAGAGAGAGAAAGCCTTCTCCTGGAGCTGATGCCCTGAATTTGGACTTTTAGCCTACTTTACTGTGACGAAATAAATTTCTCTTTGTTAAAGCTGTCCACTTGTGGTATTTCTGTTACAGCAGCACTAGATGACTAAGACATTCGCCTATGCCTTCAGTGCAGCCTGGACTTATTCCTTCCATACCATTTGTTCTTGATCATATGCTACCTCCTGAAATGGTTGAACATCGACCAATTCTTTTTGGTACAGTTACTCTGTATTCCTTCCATTTTCTTTTGATGCCTCCTGTGTTGTTCAATATTTTCCCCATGGAATCCTTCATTATTGCAATTCGAGGCTTGAATTTTTTCTTCAGTTATTTCAGCTTGATAAATACTGAGTGTGGCCTTCAGTGCAGCTTCCACCTCTTCCTTCAGTACCATTGGTTCTTGATCATTTGCCACCTCCTGAAATGGTTGAATGTCGACCAATTCTTCTTGGTAAAGTGGTTTTTATTAAACTTAGTGTGTACACTGCTGCACATAACAAGGTCCCGAAAGTTGTACTCTTCACAGAAGCAAACTGCTGTATCTTTCTCCCACGGAGCAGCTGGTGGGTTTGAACTGCCAACTTTTTGGTTAGCAGCCAAGTGCTTTAACCACCGTGCAACCAGGGGTCCTTTCAACCTTTATACAAATTATTAAATGGGAAAGCACCTGATCCCCTGATTCTGGGTTCAGATGAGAATAAAGCTATTAATAATTTAAAACATGCTCTGCACTCTCCTCCAGCTTTAGGGCATCCAAGTTATAATTTCGATTTCTCTCTGTTCATTCATGAGAGATGAGGGACTGCTAACACAAAAACATAATGATCAGCAAAGACCTGAAGGGTATTAGAGGTTGCAACTAGATCCAGTTGTTCATGCTTATCCCCTTTGCTCGCGAACTGCTGCAGCCACTGCAAAATTAAAAGAAAACACTGCTGACATAGTAAAGTTTTTGTTTTTGTTTTTGGTTTTAACGAAGAGAAGTTTATTTCCTCACAGTCAAGGTAGGCTATAAGTCCAAATTCAGGGCATCAGCTCCAGGGGAAGTCTTTCTTTCTCTGTCGGCCTTCTCATCAGTGTTCCCCTGGACTAGGAGCTTCTTGGAGCAGGGACCCCAGTCCAAAGGACGCGCTCTGCTCCTGGCACTGTTTTCTTGATGGTATGAGGTCCCCCCATAATCTTTATGTTTTTGTTTCCCATGCAGTCGATGCTTTGTCAAAGTCTGGGGCAACCCAGCGCATATGCACAGTCAAATGGCTACCTATGAAGATATTCTACTTTCCTCTCCTCACATTCACATTCACCATGTTAAAGCCCTAAATTCATTCACTTTGTTGCCTGTTATGGATCCTTCTGAACCGATACATGACTGCTTAAATCTTATTAAACAGTTACTAACTCCCAGGACTGATTTACAAGAAATTCTTTTAGAAAATCGTGACCTTTTTTTTTTGTTTGTTTGTAGATGGGTCATATCTTAAACCTTCCCAAAACTCCTCCAAATTTCAGACTGGCTATGCCATAGTCTCCCCTACTGAAGTAATAGAAATGGGATCCCTCCCTAAAGCCACCTCAGCCCAGCAAGCAGAGGTATATGCTCTGACCTGAGCCTTTGTATTAGCTAAAGGTCTAGTAGCCAATGTTCTTTCTCACACAGTGTCTTGGTTATCTTGTGCTGCTATGACAAATACCACAAGTGGATGGCTTTAACAAAGAGAAATTTATTTTCTCACACTTTAGGGGGCTAAAAGTCTGAATTCAGAGGACTGGCTCTATGGAAGGCTTTCTCTCTCTTTTGGCTCTGGAGGAAGGTCCTTTTCTCTTCAGCTTCTGCTTTCTGTTTCCTTAGAGATCTCCATGTATCTTGGCATCTTTCTTACCGCATCTCTCTTCCCCCATCTCTGCTTTCTTGCTTGTCCTAATTTGCTCTTTT